TCATTCACTCATTCACTCATTCACTCATTCACTCATTCACTCATTCACTCCATCCATCCATCCATCCATCCATCCATCCATCCATCAAGGGCCACGAGCGCTCAACCCTCAAGCCCGCGAAGCCGCGAGGGAAGTGCGGAACCGCGAATCTGCGCCCCATGGTCGGCCTGCAGATTGACTACACGTCGATCATAGAGTTCATCGATAACCGGCCCTGCATCCAACTACCTGCGGCGCCCAGTGACGGAGTTCTCATTTTGCTGACCTTCATCCGGGGAATCCTCACTTCCCTTTTCACGGTGTATAAGCTCGCTGTGACCTTTGACCTGACGGTCCAGGAAGACCCCAACATCTACCAGATCTCAGCTTCTCCTTCCGGATTTTGATCCCGGCTATCAAGGTCACAGAGCACTAAGGGGCGAGCACTCGCCAGGGTCCCAAACCCCTGGCCAAGGCGGCAACTTGGACCCTGATCTACTTCACGATGATGCACAGTCCTCTGAGGAAAGAGGCGCCGTCTTGGTGGCCCGAGGGTCATATCATAGTGCTGGTCTATGGCGTGAGCCCCAAGAGCAATCGTCCTGTTTTCCTTTGGAAGGGGGCGAAAACATCCAGCGCAACCCACACAAGTCCTATAGCCGCAAAAAAACATTTCGTAAGGCCTGCAACCTAGCTGCCAAAACCGGATACACGGCCTATAGAGGTAAGAATCACAATCTCAAGAGCTTGGGACAGCCCTCATGGATACCTCCGGTTCCTAATAAGCTTGCTCCCAAGACCATGCCTGCACTTCGATCGATTTCGTCGAGCCGACTGCGGTACACATGCTGGAAGTGGAGGTCTCCCCAATTGGCGCCTGGATGAAGTTCGTATTTGGGCCAGTGCCTCCAGCTTGGACCTGTTGGTCATCACCGAGACCCACTGGACGCAGGACTACGAATGGTCCGACCGAGCCTGGTCCTATCTTAGCTTTGGATGCTCACGTACCACCCACTCAGGCAATCATGGTACATAAACGATTGTGTGCACCAGCTGCAATAGCTTGGAACAATTGTGTACCCGGCCGTCTAATCCATGTTCGTCTGTACACGGAGCCAAGAGCAGTTGATGTGATAGCAGTTTACCAACAATCAGGAGCCCACTCCACTGAACTGCTTGCTACCAGGCACCTTCTTTGGGAAGCTCTGGACGGCTTGTTGAACCGACTCCCCAATCGACACATGCTCTTGTGGCTTGGAGATTTCAACTGCACACTGGCGGGAATACCCTCCCTTGCGCCTGTTGAGTCCTTCAAACCGATTGCAGGTACCGCGACACCCAGAGCACGACATCCAGACTGCCAGGAGCTTTGCCGCATCGTCAAACAGCACCGACTTGTTGGTCTCAACTGTTTCCGAGCACATCAGGGAACCTTCACGAACGGTCGACACTCCTCTCGCATTGATTTTGTTTTCACACGCCATGCTTGTGTTGACAAATATGCAAAAGAATATCGACCACAACACGACTTTCCCTTGATAGCTAATCAAGTGTCGTACCACCTTCCTCTTAGTAGCTCCATTGCACTGACTTGGCATAGGAAGTTTGCGCAGCACAAATCCTCTGTCATTTCCCTTCGTCAGCGTGAACGCGCCCACTATGCCAAGGAACATTCGTCCGGTGAGTGGACCCTTTTTGCTCAGCAAGCCCAAGCACTCTTCGAGGAGGACTGGACACAGTCCGTGACCACAGTCTCGGCCATGCACACCCAACTTCGATCGAACTTCATGGACTCCTTCCCACGAGCAGGTTCAACCAATCCCATTTGGCAAGATCACTCTACGTCCGTGCACGACAAATGGGCCCTTTGGCAAACCATAAGACAACGTACAGATTCGTCAATTCAAGGGGTTTTCAAGGTATGGCGTCAGTTTTGTGATTTCCAAAAACTCCACCGTTTGCGCCAACAACGCGCCAAGGAATGGCGCGCTCGACGCACTGATGAAACCACGTCTGAGGCGGCTGAGGCAGCTGCATGCCATGACACGTACAAAGCCTATCTGCTTATCAACCGCATTACCCCTAAAGCTGTTCGTAAACGCATTCAGCATAGCCAACCATTAGGCCCGGTGGAAACGCATGCTGCCTTGGTGCAATTCGTGAGCGCGACCTGGGCTGATCCTGCTGGACAACCCGTCCCGGACACTGCGGCTGAACCCGCAGGACCTGAGACCAAATTGCCAACCAGATGCATGCCATTCTCTCTAGCTCAACTGCGAAATGCCATTCGTAAACTAAAATGGAATAAAGCTTTTGCTGCTCCTTTTGCACCTGGTGAAGCATTTGGTCCGTTTGCTGACTCAATTGCAGGGAAACTGTTTGAACTCCTCCGCCGTTGGTGGGGACAGGATGACCCTTTCCTGCCCAGCTCCTGGAAGGACAGCTGGATGGTATGGCTTCCGAAGCCAGGAAAAAGCGGACCATCCCAAAAATCTCCGGCATTCGATCAACTGTGTGCTTGGCCCCAATGGGCATACGTCATGGGACGTGGAACTGGAGATGCACTGGCCAGAGTGTCTGCGCACTGTGATTTGGTCCAGAGCAAACTCAAAGCACATGCTCGAAGGACGCCTCATGTCATTGCTGAAGGACAAGCCATGACGCCAATCAGTGGGGGATTGCAATTGTTTGTTGATTTAAGTAGAGCCTTGATTCTATCCCCAGGACCTTTTTGTTTCAAAGCCTTGAAGCTCTAGGTACACCGCCCCTCCTGCTCCAACTCATTCGAAGTTGGCATACCGGAACGCACTATATCGTGCAAACTCACTCCTTCACGGATGCTGTACGCACTGGAGTGGGAATTCGTCAAGGCTGTACCTGTGCTCCAATCCTGTGGAGCATTGCAATGTGGAGGTTCATGACACTCTGTTTCTCCACTTTCGGCCCTTGGATTTTACAAGCGCTCAACTTGTTTGCTGATGATTTTCATGTTTGTGATGTGTTTGATTCAGCTACAGAGTTTGACACGTGCCTCCACAAGCTTGGCCATCTGCTCGACTTGGTGGAAGAGGCTGGCCTCACCATCAATTTAGAGAAGACCCAAATGATCCTGGCCACGAAAGGCTCGAAACAGACCCAGCTGATAAACGTGCACACTGAGCGTACGTCCAAGGGTTGGTTCATTTTGATTCCTAGACGTAACGGCACACCCTCACGCACAAGATTGGTAAAGCAGGCAGTGTATCTAGGTGCTGTAATTAACTTTACTGATCACAAAGATGCTACTGTTCGTTCACGCCTCAAATGTGGTCATACTGCATTCAACCGGTTGCGGAAGTGGCTTTGTGGTTCCAGATGTCTCGCAAACGCACAGAAGTACCAGCTTTGGCAAGCGTGTGTCCTCAGCATTCTCATGTATGCCCTCCCGGACATCGGAATCACACCCAAAGGATGTCATCAACTCCTCTCGACCATAACCTGCATGCTTCGGAAGATTTACAGAGACCATCCATACCATACAGGTCGAACCCATCAAGCCTTTTTTTCGTACCATGGCCTGCCAACGGCTGTGACCCTTGTTCGCCTCCGCCTTGAAGCCCATCTCCAACGACTGAGAACCAGGCTGGACTGGGTTAGTAGTGATGACATCGTTCACCATCGTCCACTGTTGAATGAGTGGAACCAAGAACACTCCCAGATGACCCGAACGGTCGATGCTGAATTGATTCAATGTCCTGAATGTCAGGCCTCCTTCAAGAGCCGCACGCTTCTTGCACTCCATCGAATGCAGGACCATCGTGTCCTTTTGCAGCGCCCAATTGTTTTTGACCATGCACGGGACGCGCGCAAAGGCCTCCCCACATGTTCACACTGCCTCAGGGATTTTCAAGATTGGACTCATCTCAGACTGCGCATAACAAGTAGAGGCTGCTTGCTTTTTGATGCCACCAAGGAGATCAATGATGACATTGTTCGTGCTCAGCTTCAACTGCGCATTCACTTGATGAGTGAATCTTGGGACGACATCCCTCAAGAGCAAGGCCTTCGTGCGTTCCTGAGCACACGATGCATCCTGTGCCAAAGGTTCGTGCCGAGGACACAAGAACTTACCTCTCACCTCCGCCATAGCCACAGCCACCTTGCTGATCGAGCTGTGCAAGCTGGGAGGGACTACATGAGCACACGACAACATGACCCCTCCAGCCTGTGTCAACGACCACATCGACGACAAGGGCACCTCTGTCCAGCTGCTGTGAATATACAATGCTTCGCCCTTCATCGCGCTGGACGACCGGTTGGAGTACCCTCAACATCGAAGGCTGCCATCCTGGAGAGCCAATGTCACTTGTGCGAATTCTGCTGCCTTGATGAGCAGCACTTGAACTGCCACCTCCGCCATCAACACGGACTACAATCTGTGGCATTACCTCCGGCACCGCGGGACCATTCCGATCATCCTGCAATTCTGGAGGCCCTGAACAGTGGGACCATCATGGACCATCTACAGGCCTGTGATCTGAAGATGCGCCTTAGCTTGCAATGTCAACTTTGCCCCTTCACAACTACCAGATTGGCGGGGCTGTTCAAACACCTTCAATGTGCCCATGGCCACCTATGGCTGCTCTCCGCGGAGATGTGCGCTATGTTTCAACATTTTTGGCAGGGCATGTGCG